TTTTGCGTTAGAGATAAGCAGATTAATGAAGAAATGTTGTGGAAAGAATCTGGAATCTTTCCGGGCAGATGATTCTTCGAAAGCTGAATGGATTGAACGTTTTGTAGACGACTTAATTCAGCTGGAATTTCCCCAAGAAGTTGGTTTCTCGCAAGGGCAAGAACAGTAAGATAGGAAAGGTTCCCAAATGTAGAAGGGATTTTGCTGGTGAGGTTATTAACGGAAAGATGAAGTACCCTGAGTGCTTGTAAGAATGGATGATGGGTAAGGATATTTATAACTCTTGTTTATGACACCCTCACCACATGTCCCACTTCCCTTGGTCCACTTGTCAACATCCGTGGAATGAACCTCTCCTTCGTGGGCCTTCAATAATGGGTCTCTTCCAGACTTGCAGCGGCAAATTATGTTTTGATTTCAAACTTGTCTAATGTGGAGTAAACTTTTAGACGAAAGAGTTTTTCTCCCAGCATGAAAGCATGAGAGTGTTTCTTCGGAGTGTTTGTTTGGACGTCGTCGGCAACGATGATTTTGCTTCGTTCTCACATATTTTCTTTACTTTTTTTCTCAATTCTTTTCGCTAGTATTTGTTTAGAGGTGGCTATTCTCATCCCTCAACGAAGGCTATGAAGCAGGAGAGGGTTAATGGTGAGCAGGGGGAGCCGATGATGGATTCTCCACTGAAGCCACCGGCTTTGTTGTCCCGCGATTTGAAGTTAGGGGAGTCGGTGCTGATGGGAGGTAGTCTCGCGACCCCTCAAGGTTGGGAAGCCATGGGATGGGATGTTTTTTTTTTTATGAGCACGCCTTAATATTATCGTCCTGGAGATGATGTCGGTAGGTAGCGCTGGTCACTATAGGATAAATGTCACAATTATCATTGTATCATCTTATTATTAGCAAAAATGGAATGGTAAATTATCGTATGATAAATTTAAATGGTAATATAATAATACCATTTAAACTTGTGGTACGGTATTGATATTGTAGGTCATTACCATTTTTATCATATAGTTACCAAATTTACCACTCATTCAAAACTTTTTCCTCTTTTTTTAATTCTGCAAAGTTTTTAATTGTTGCTAGTTCTTTTTTTTTTTTTTTTATGTGTGCATGTTTTGTATAATTATATATTTATATGCTTCAAGATGATGAATAACGGTATGAAGAAAATAAGTTTTTAAAATAATTTTAAACTTTTAAAATTGAATTTTAAATGACTTGAATTAATTGATAATGAAAAAAATAAGTTTAAAGATAGATAATATGGTATGGTAATGGTAAAGAAAGTTTCATTACTATTAAAAATGATTGACAGCCATTACCAAAAAATTATCAATTGATCTGAAAGTGGTAACTCTTTTTAATTATTACTTAAAATAATTACCATCATTTGAGTGTGGTACGATTACCATACCGTAACATGCTTAGCCCTATCGGTAGGGGTTCAAAGGCTGGATGTGTTGCCTTTTGCTGACTCGAGAGGTTGTTATGGAGGGGCAAAGTGCTGCGGCGGTGTTGGCTCCGTTGAGGGTGGCGGTACAGTGCCGAACGGTGAAAATAGTGGCGCAAGTTCTACCGGCATGCAAGTTCTTCCGGCATGTAACTAAAATATAAAAATATATAAAAAATAATAATTTAAAAAATTTTCTTTAAATTATTTTTTAATAAATAAATTAAAGACATGTCACTCGTGTACATAATAAACGGACAATTTCGCCGGCCGAAGTATTTTCTCTTTCCTCCATTCCTCTCTCATCTTTATCTTTCTTTCTAGAACTGCCATATCTTAGAATTTTTGCTGCAATTCGGGATAAAAATTGTGTACTTGCAGAAGTTTTTCGTGTGATCGACTTGATTTTCCTTGAATTTTTAGGCCATAGAAGACTGGTGGGTGTCTAGATCTGGCTTCTGTTCTAACCGGAAAACTATCATTGAATTTTGCACTTCAAGGGTCTTTGATTTCGTCTTCTTTTTAGTACCATGTTAGATGCAAAGTTCCCTTTCCCGTCTTCAGCTAAGCTCTAACCTCTGTTGCAGCATTTAAAGAAGAGATAATTTTTGCTTCTAAAATAAAGAATGCTTGGGCGAATTAATTCCTTTGTTTGAATTTATTTAACTTATTAAAAATGTAATTAATATATTTTTTTATTATTAATTAATATAAAAAATTAATTTTATTATTAATATTTCATATATTGTTTTATTGAATAATTAATCAAATAAATATTAAAATTTATTTTTAAATGACAATTAATATTAAAAAGATGTTGTTAAAAAAACCCCTTCCTTTTACTCCTATTTGTCTACCATAATGGGACTTTAGGCAGAAATATAGGAACAAAGTGCCTGGAGCTTTGTATTGGTCTAGGATTTAGGCAAATTTAAGCAGTTTATCTCCAAAATCCCATCACAAGAATATTCTAACCTTTTCTTTCTT